TCCTAGAAACATGTAAAAAGGTCACCAGAATCTGGGTGGGCTTTCGACAGATGTTTTTTTTTCGCCATTGGGAAATTTTAAGTTTTCCCACGTGAATCGAGGGGCAAGCTGGCTTTTGTTTTTATACAATGTTGCTGGAAAACTACGCCTGGTCAAAAAGCCTGCTTGCAAATACCTTAATCATCTCGCTAGACGTTTTGGTCAAGGCAACCTCCGCATACCGCACAACAACGAGATAATATTGTCACATTTGCCTGCACCCTGTTGTGTATCCGATGAAGGTATCCGGGTACAAATGCTCATTTTCACCGCCAGCAATCATACTCAGCGGCCCCCAGACCGAGTGTTTTTCATCGTCCTAATGGATGAGGGCAACTAAATCGTGTTACAGTAAACTCCAGTACCAAATGTTACCGCTCCCAATCACGTGAGGCGTCGAACGCATGCAATGCAGTGGCAAAGCACCCCTTATACCGACAGGAAGGATCATGATTCATCTTCAAAGCCTGCGGACACGGCATCGTGGTCGATGAATTCCCATGAGTATGGTCTAATTTGGACAGACACTTCCGTACCAAATTAGCAAATGACGTGAGCCCTGGACCCTGGGCGTGGCGTGGTCGTGAGCTGGTCGGGGACACTTGGCCCGCATACGGGCAGCCCCGCAGCCTGGCTGCCCGGGCCGGGCTCCAGCTGCCGTCCTGATGGCGTCCGCTCGTTGTTCCGTGAGGCATTGAACGGGAGTTGGAAAGCATTATCGAGCCGTTGCACATGATGTGAGAGTCGCGGCGTGGTTGCCATGCCATCCAGACGCTCCGATGCCCGTTTTCAGACGTCGAAGACGGTTTACGGGCGGGACTTTGTGAGGTCAGTCAAACTGTGCTGGACAACGCCGCCTAGCACTCAATGCCAAATCCGGTAGGACTCGCAAGAAGTGATAACCATTGGTTCGGGTAAAACTTCGGAGCAGTTACGACAGTTACGGACAGTTTGTTTGACTTGTTCATACAACTGTGTGGTTAAGCGCATAGCCAAGTCAAGTTGTTGGATGATGATACCCAATGTAATGTCATAGCATACTATGACACCCAGCGAATAAGATGAGATGAGCTACTTCACCCCACTTTTTCTAACCGCGCTTTTGTTTCAATGCATTGTGAGCAGTGACGAGTCTGCCATAGATACTGCGGAAGTCCTACTTTTGATTTGACTGTCTTGCCGACGACGCTCAGGCAACTGACCACCCAGCCATCACCTGAAGCATGCCAGCCGTTCTTCAGACGGCCCCGCTGCCAGCCAGTTCACGCGCATCCCTGCACGCCGTCACGTGTCGTGTTGTGCCCGTGACGAAGACAAATGCAGTGGTGGTGGTCTTAAAACCAGCAGTGGTCTAATCTTCAAACCAGTAGTGGTCTGGTTTGAACGGCCGTGGTGCGTCGAGCCGATGTCAGAGAGCATGTCTCTGCCGTTTGACAGCATGTCGTATCATGACGGCGGCTCATGATCCAGCCTCTGGATGTGGGTTACTCGCGCCCGTGTCTGCACTGGTCCGCACTAGTCCCTCATGAAGGCATGGAGGGTCTTCACTGGTCCCTGATAAGGCGGAGGGCGGCCTGAACCGGTCCCTGATCCGGCAGAAGTGGCCTATACTTGTCCCTGATACAGCGTGGGACGGCCTGAACTGGTCCCCGATACGGCGGGGAGAGCCTGAACTGGTCCCTGATATGGCGAGACCAGTTCAGTCCGTGCCCAGCCTGTGTTGCGCGAGTAATGGCATTCACTGGTCTCTGATGTGGCGGAAATTGTGTTCACTGGCCCCTTATCAGGCATGGAATGACCTGCAATGATCCCTGATCAGTCATGTATGGTTTGTATTGAGCTATGGAACGGTTGGGTCATCAAAAGGCGGTGATAGTTCTCGCCAGTCCCTCATAAGGCGGTTGGTGATCGGCACTGGCTCCTGATTTGGTGAGGCATTATCTGGTGATAATATCTGAATCTAGGGCGTTTCTACAACAGCGATCATCTTGCGCCGACAGCTAATCGGGGGATGATCGCCACTATTTCCCTATACGGAAAGACGATGGCATGCACTGGTCTCTGCCAATGCAGGAAATGGTTCCTCTAGTCACCGATGCGCCGGGAATGGTCTTCACCGGTCCCTGATAAGCTGCGACGGCCTGTGCTGGCCCCTGATACGGTGGTACGTTCTCTCTCCCAGCCTCCCCGCCCAGCAGCCCCACCTCCCAGTCCCAGCAGACTGCACCGAGCCCATCCGGCATTCAGGTGGCGTGCTGGTCAGTGATTCGCTCAAATAAAGGCCCAGACAAACAATCGCACCTATTTCTGGTGCGGCGCCCCGGGCGCGAGAACAAAGGAGAGACGCTTGGCGGATGTTGAGTGGCGAACCATAGTGACCACTCCACACGGACAAAACTTGCGCAGCATGGCGACCCTCAGCCCGTGCGGTGCCTAGCCGCGACCGCAGCTTACCGGCCAAAAGACCCGCATGCGTCACACCTGTTTCCGTGTTCTGTGGCGGTTGACAGTTTCTGTGTTCTGTGGCGGTTGACAGTTTCTGCTCTGCGACGGAGCCATTGTCCCGTTCATGTCCAACGAAGGTGTATTTCAACTTCAATACCGGGCTTTGGACCTTATCAGCATTTGGGTATTCGCGCTTAGGCAAATGTCTCCTGCGGGCACAAATGCTTGGATCAGCAAGACGTGGACTGCTCAACAATGTTTCCCTGCTGTGATTAATTCAGATCCCTCGCCGAGAACAGGTGAGGAACCCATCCCACCAGGTAACGGCTCAAATATCTTAGAGTGTTCCGAAAAGATGCCTTCAATGATGCAAGGGTGAGCCGATTTAGCCATGCACCACCGGAAGCGTCGCTGAAATCGGTACGCTCTTAGTGCAGATCTTGGTCACTGACGTCATGCCTTCGAAGGCTGATGCGACTAAAATCTTCTGAGTAGGGTATGGACTCATCCCAACTTAATCTCTCCCATGACAGCGAAAGAAACAAATGGTCACCGGTGGAACGGGAAAAAGGTGCGCGGCAAGTCTATCTGTCAATAATGTTTCTATGACATGACTTCACTCTGTTGTCATACTTTTAAACTATGCCATCCTTACTTTTTGTCACGCTTTTACACCGTAACACGTGAGCCGTGTTTCTGCATTTTAACATGATTTTTGAGGGACATATATTGCAATATCACGCTATATATGGCGTGCAACTTCCATCTGCAACCTCTATCGATTTTTCTATGGCTGGCTTGTGTTATGGCGGACACTCCATCATAAGTCAAGGGTTGTCGCTTAGAAAACACCAGCTGTTAATGTTCCAGACATTTCCGGATTACGCTGAGCATGCTGCCACACGGAAGTGCCAAGCTGAACAAACCTCATGGCATTGTGAAGTTTGCCAGTGCTTAACTCGTGCAGAGAAGCGCGGCGAGTCTCCGCTCATGAACTGCAATCAGTGTATTGACAATCGAACTGGTCCTTGCACCTCCTCTGCCTAGTGGTTCGTTCGCCGCCACCTGGTCACGTCAACTGGCAGCGGCCGGCCTAAAGTGAGGACTGGCGGGGCGGGGGTGGGCGGGGCTAAGTTTTCCATGGCATGTCGCCGGGTGGTAAACGGCTCCGCTTGTGCTAATTGTGCGAGCCGGTGGTTGTCATGTGCAGCCGGCCCGTAATTGACCTCATTAAGGTGACTGTATCGCGGGGTCGTCGACAATGCCTCGGCGCCGCCGCCGTGTCCCAGCCGGTGGGAGTCCGCCGACCTGCAGGTCGCCCCGGGCCGGACACCAGCGCAGGGTGGTCCCCTGCCGCCGCGCCGGAGCGACCGAGCCGGGGCCGCTGGCGAGCATCCGAGGGCAGAACCACCGACTGTGCCGCCGCCAGCCCACTGATCCGATCCGACCCAATCTGATCCGATTGGGGCGGCTCCTGTGATGTCAGTGCGCCGCGCGGCGACCGCGGCCTGCCACGACCAGCGGGCTGGATAGGTGTGGTCCTTAGCCTGCAGGAGCTGAAAGGTGCAGCCGTCTTCATTCCACGGGATGGAAAGCGACGAGCGTGCTACTACTCACGCGGTGGGGCTGAAGCCGCGGCCTCCGCCGCACGCGCCGCCGCCCCGCATAAGCGGTGCTGCCGACATTGACCCGGCTACGGCCGCGGCCGGCTGTCGTGCGGTGATCACAACCTCTGATGGGACTGAGGCTCGCGCCCACCACCGGTGGATGCCGAGGCCGGACCCCGGCCCTGGGCGCCGCCAGCGGCCCGGTTTGGGCGACGCGTGTGGCTTCACGGCGACAACGGCCGGTCTGGAGCATGCCTTGCGGTGTTATTTCGGTGACACTAGCGCAGGGATCGGCAGACTTCTTTGATTTGATGATGGCTGACGCTTTCGGAGATTTCTGGCCCGTCTTTATCCCACTGTGGGCATTTGCTTATTTCCTCGTGTGGTCTCAACAGGGTTTAACGGAATTCCGCATACCAAAGAGTTTTCCATGTTAGTTCAAAAACGTGCAGTACATCTTGGCTCCTAAGAGCAGGATCTCATCCCGAACAAATCGCGAGCGCCTGAAATATTGTCACCTCTCCTCGTTGTCTTCGTATGTAATCCCGTGGACAAAAGCGCTGCCGTAATGGAAGTACCATCAGTGGTATTTAGCTGCATTGAGCAGTATTAAGATCACAACTTTTCAAAATTATCGCAGTGTTAAAGGAAAACCAGCAAAGAAGGAACAAAATAAATCAGAACCACATCTATCAACTTTCTAGATATTGAATGCCAAAATGATTTTTCGCAGGCCATCCCCTGCAGCATAACATGCCAGGGGCGTTTCAGATTCATTTGGAGCATTGCTGCGCTGGTCGTCTGAGGAGACGTGCTGTGACCCTGCTGTGGCCCGTGTCCCGCCTGTGACCCGTGACTGTCATGACCCTGCGACCTGGCTGTGACCTCTGACCGTGGCGTGACCCGCAGGCGGACGGCTGGGGCGAGTGGTCGGAGTGGGGGCCGTGCAGCCAGCCCTGCGACGGGGGCGTCTCTCGCCGCACGAGGCCCTGCCACGAGGCCCAGGGCTGTCCGGGCCTCGGCGTCCAGCGGCAAATGTGCAACATGCAGGTCAGCCTCAGCTTCGCCCTCTGCTCTTCCGATGAGTCACTTTTCGAGAGAATATAGCAATGCATACGGTGTCACTCGTTATTATTGTGTATATACTCTGTGTTTCAGCCAGCACTATTGGTTGTGAGAAGTGATATTCCGTAACATATTTGCAGCCAGCAAAAAGCCATGTGCGCCTTGTGGCGGCAGCTATATGGTCATATCAAGGAATTTAATCTCATTTTGGCTGTCAGCAGTAGCATATGCTTATTATTGATTAAATGCACAAGCAAATTACTTTGAACCGAATTTCTTCGAAAAGGTACACGTTTTTTATAGATAAGTTGATATCCTGGATGTTTTTTATAGTATATTCTCCGCATTTAATTACAACGATGCAGAGAGGTCGAGGATTTTTCTCCGATGAGTTTTGCGACGGTCGGGTCTGCTTGCGTCAGTGAAATGTTACAACCGAGCATCATGTTTCCACATTTTAGTGTTAACGAAATCTGGACACTGTTATGTTGGCTTATAGCCCGGTAATTGGAATGCCATTCAAAACCCATCGCGTTGCATTGCTGGCCGCCAGCCACTAGACATGCAAATACGTTGCAAGTGCAACTGCACGGATTTTAGTGATAAAGAGGCCTCGGAACGCTTCGGTAAAAAGTCTCAGGCACGCTAATGAGCCACGGTAAATTGCACTCTTTAATCGGATTACGGTGAGATGACGGCGTAGTTTCATGTGGGTAGATTGAAACATCTGGTTATCGGATACGATCCCGATTACTGCCGAAGTCAGCGTCACGTGCTTTCAACACATTCAGGGCAGGATCAGTCTGACTTCCGGCGGAAGTGTGTTTTTAGGGATTTGGTAGCATTTGTGTTGGTCTTGCAAATTGAATGAAGAGTGCAAAGCGAAGAACAAAAACATGTGATGACCAATCTCTCACCCCGTGCACCTCATGCACTGCATCTGCAACAAGGCCTTAGGCTGTTTTCCTATTCACGCTTGCGGCACAACTTGGTTCTTACCAGTGACGAAGGCCACCGTATTGGCTCCAGTCACTTCCATCTGCGCCATCCCAGTGCCCCGCCCCCGCCCCCGCCCCCGCCGTCACTCCGCTCGGCGGCAAGCCTTGTTCGCGCGCACGCTCCGCATCGTTGTGGACAGTCATCGTCGTCGGCATCGACAAGGGCCGCGCACGATCCTGTGTCAACGCGGCCGGTGGTAACTGTGTGAAACACCACGTGGGACGCCTTTGTGGGCGCTCCGTGGCGCCTTTGTCGGTGGCGTGTGTCGAGCGGCTGGAGGCGCCGGCGCCGTCCGGCCGGGGCGGCCGCCCGCGGTCGCCGAGTCTGCCGCCGACTCGACCATGGCTATTTGTTTCGCCGTCGCCGGCGGCTGACTCAGCCTCGACTCGACGATTCTGGCGCGGTAATCCCGGCGCCGCTCTCGGTCGCGCCGCCCCTCATCTGACGCCGAATGCATCCCGGAGCGCGGTGTGATATTGTCGGCCACTCGGCCGCGGCTGCTGATACCCGGCGCTTTTAATAAAGTTGTTTGCAAAGTTGGCTCACTCTGGCGCCAAACCCGTCTGCCAGGTAAGTTTGTGTGGTCTCTTACTTCCAGATTTCGTGGGGATACGGAGAGGCAGATTAGAACTGCTGTTTTTGTTTTATCTTTCCGGAGATATCCGCTGTTTGAGGCTTGTATGCAAAAAGCGTTCGCTGCCAGCCGAGGCTTTTGCGGCGTTTCCGCACCACCCTTTCGCTTAGGCGCGCCGCGCCGCGGTATTACCAAAAACAAAAACAACTGAAGAGGCCTCCAAAGGCCTGCGAAGTGTCCAAACGCCAACTTCTGGGCACGTCATATTTAGAAAGCTCTATCGCAAAGCTGTGAATGAAGTGGACTGTCATAAGACTGTCAAAGAAATAGACTGTCATAAAATAGAACAGATAGCTGAAGAGGGCTCATTATATTTATGCACCTTCAATGTTTTGTAACATAAGTTTTGATGAATATGAAACAAAGTATTTTATAATTTTGTGTATGAAATCGTTGCTTCTGCTACCGCCGAAATACTGCTATGACACTCGCATGCTGATGCTGTAAGGTCTCAAACGCTGGGACCATAACTGTTCTTGATGAGAGCAGTAAAACAGTTACACAGTTAAAGATGAGTGTAATTCAGGGACCATGTGGTTTGCGTTTCACGGAATTGCAGAACTGACTCGTCGTTCTGATGTTCAATGCTTCAGAACTGCTTAGCCGAGCCAAAGCATTATGACGAATCGCTCTCGATTCCAGCGCATTAACGAGAGACCCTCCCCGCGCAATCGATAGCAGACTTGCCGGCGCTAGGGATGTGTCGTGCCCTCCCACTGGCCCCCAGAGAGCCAACGAGAGAGGAGCGCAAGACAGCGATGACGTACCGTGCCCTCCACCGATCCTTGGAGAGCCAGGGCGTGAATTGCTACACAAGGATAACGTGTTGTTCTATCCACCAATCCTGAGAGAGCCACGATGGGGGGGGGTAGACATCGATGGCGTATCCCTCCATCGATCCTGGGAAAGCCGGAAAGGAGTGGGAGGAGGGATGGGGGCAATGACGCGTCGATTCGTCCACCGATCCCCGAAGAGGTGGAGACGAACAGGATGCAGACAACTTTATCGTTTTGTCTTCCCATCACCGATCTTGGGCAAACCAAGGGAATGAGAGTGGGGTAAGAGAGAGAGAGAGGAGAGAGAGAGAGAGAGAGAGAGAGAGAGAGAGAGAGAGAGAGAGAGAGAGAGAGAGAGAGAGAGAGAGAGAGAGAGAGAGAGAGAGAGAGAGAGAGAGAGAGAGAGAGAGAGAGAGAGAGAGAGAGAGAGAGAGAGAGAGAGAGAGAGAGAGAGAGAGAGAGAGAGAGAGAGAGAGAGAGAGAGAGAGAGAGAGAGAGAGAGAGAGAGAGAGGAGAGAGAGAGAGAGAGAGAGAGAGAGAGAGAGAGAGAGAGAGAGAGAGAGAGAGAGAGAGAGAGAGAGAGAGAGAGAGAGAGAGAGAGAGAGAGAGAGAGAGAGAGAGAGAGAGAGAGAGAGAGAGAGAGAGAGAGAGAGAGAGAGAGAGAGAGAGAGAGAGAGAGAGAGAGAGAGAGAGAGAGAGAGAGAGAGAGAGAGAGAGAGAAGAGAGAGAGAGAGAGAGAGAGAGAGAGAGAGAGAGGAGAGAGAGAGAGAGAGAGAGAGAGAGAGAGAGAGAGAGAGAGAGAGAGAGAGAGAGAGAGAGAGAGAGAGAGAGAGAAGAGAGAGAGAGAGAGAGAGAGAGAGAGAGAG